GAAGGGAAGGGAAGGGAAGGGAAGGGAATGGAAGGGAAGGGAAGGGAAGGGAAGGGAAGGGGTTCCCAAGCTCTCCCTGTTCCGCAGCCCGCAGTTCCCGCTGCCGGATCCGTGCCTGCCGCGGGATGCACTGGATGAGCTGCGGCTGCACGGGCGGACGCTGCACCTGCGCGGCTCCGGGGACTTTGGGCGCTGCCGGGAGCTGCTGCAGCCACTGCTGAACCGCAGCCGGGACAGCCGGGGCTCCCTGAACGGCGTCTTCCAGCCTCCTGTGCACTTCCAGAGCAGCGAGTTCTACGGATTCTCCGAGTTCTACTACTGCACCGAGGACGTGCTGAGGATGGGCGGTGACTACAGCGCCGCCAAGTTCGCCAGGGCTGCCCAGGTGGGGAATGCTCCAGGCCTGGAATCTCCAGAAGGATTCTGTTCCCAAAGTCCTGCAGCAGAACTTTCCCTTAAAATATCCCAAATTCCTAAATTCACTAAAGCTGCAAAGGGAAAAAACTGGGATCAATTCCCTCATTAAAACATCTCTGCAGAAGGATTTTGTTCCCAAAGTCCTCCAGCAAAACTTTTCCTTAAGAGACCCCAAATATCTTAAAATATCCCAAATTCCTAAATTCACTAAAGCTGCAAAAGTGAAAATCAGGGATAAACTCCTGATTTAAAATACCTTTCCACAAGGAGTTTCTTCCCATAGTCTTGCAGGAAAGCTTTTCCTTAAGAAATCCCAAATTTCCTGCCCTGAACTCTCCCAGGGCTTTTCTGTTCCTCAGACCTGGGATTTGCCTGACTGGATATTCCCAGAGAATTTCACATTAATTCCACCTCAAATTCCAAGCATGGCTCAAAATATTCCCACAAAATTTGGGATCTGCCTGACTGGATATTCACAAAGAGTTTAACATTAATTCCATCCCTAATTCCAAACGTGGCTCAAAATATTCCCACAAAATTTGGGATCTGCCTGATAGGATATTCCCAGAGATTTTTCCATTAATTCCACTCCAAATTCCAAACATGGCTTAAACCATTACCAGGAAATCCGGGCTCTCCCTCACTGGCAGCACAAGCTGCTGTTACTTTTTGGCTTTTGCTGTTCCAGAGCATTTTCTCGGGTGGGATTTTCCTTCTCCGGGCTCAGGGAATGCCAGAACCATTCCAGTTTTCCCGGTTTTTTGCTCTCCTGCAGGATTACTGTGCCACCAGCTGGTCGGTGCTGCGGGAGCGCTTCCAGCGTGGGCTCTACGCGCCACACGCAGATCTGCACCGCCTGAAGTGAGTGCCCAGCCTGGGATCCACCTGGGAATAGTCTGAGAACACCCTGGGATCTGCTTGGGATCTACCTGGGAACAGCCCGGGATCCACCTGGGAACAGCCTGGGAACTGCCCAGGATCCGCCCAGGAACAGTCTGGGAACACCCCAGGAACAGCCTGGGATCTGCTCAGGATCCACCCAGGAACAGTCTGGGAACACCCCAGAACAGCCTGGGATCTGCTCAGGATCCACCCAGGAACAGTCTGGGAACACCCCAGAACAGCCTGGGATCTGCTCAGGATCCACCTGGGAACAGCCCGGGATCCACTCAGGAACCTCTTCCGGCCCAGCTGCTGGGCCTGGCCCTTCTGTGGAGTCCTTGGAAGTGGGGAAAAAAGCTTGGGAAAAGCCTGGGAATTGGGGAAAAATGCCTTGGAAAAGCTGAGAATTCTATGTTTAATTGTGCCCCGCGGTTGCTGGAATGCTGAGCTGAGCTTATCCCGTTCTCCGTGGCTGATCCTGCTGTTCCTCATCCCACTGTCCCTGATCCAACTGTCCCTGACTGATCCCAGTATTCCTGACTGATCCTAGTGTTCCTGATCCCATTTCCCAGCTTGATCCCATTTCCCAGCCTGATCCCACTCTTCTCTGCAGGTTCCAGTGCTTTAAGTCCGCCTGGATGTTTGAGGTTTTCCACCGGGGCTTTTCCTTCCCGGAGAGCTACGGGCGGCTGCGCACGGCGCTGCAGGTCTACGACAAGGAGGTGCAGTGGACGCTGGGGGCCATCCTGTACCGCACCCGCTTCCTGCCCCTCAGGTACCCCCAGATCCGGGAACAGCCTCGGGAATGGGAATTTCAGCATGGGGAGAGGCGCTGATCCCTCAAATCCTGGATTTTGGAGCCTCTTTTCCCAAAACGGGCTCTGATTCCTGCCCTGAGCCAAGCTGGAAGTGGAATTTTGTCTCCAAGTGTGGCTGTTGTCCCTCTGCTCTTTCCCAGGGCTCTCAAAAATTTGGGAACAGCCTTTGGGAGGGGAATTTTGGGATGGGAAGAGGTGGTGTTCCTTCAACTTGTGGTTTTTGGAGCCTGTTTTCCCAAAATGGGCTCTGATTCCTGCCCTGAGCCAAGCTGGAAGCAGAATTTTGCCTCTAAGAAGTGGCCATTGTCCCTTTGCTCTTTTCCAGGGACATCCTCTCAAAAATCTGGGAAAATCCATTGGGAGAGAATTTTGGGGATGGGAACTTTCGCTTTTTAGAGCCTCAAATTATGCTTTGTAGAGCTTGCTCCACCAGCTGAGCTCTGATTCCCAAGCTGAAAGCAGAAATTCGCCTCCAAAGCGCTCTCGTTGTCCCTCTGCTCTTTCCCAGGGACATTCAGCAGGAAAATTTCCGTGGGATTCACTCACGCTGGAGGAGCTTTTCCTTCGTGTACAACCACTACTTATTCCTGGCCTGCTTCCTGGTGGTGCTGCTCTCCATCCTGCTCTACCTGCTCCGGCTGCGCCGCATCCATCGCCGCCGGCTCCACAGCGGCGCCTCCCCAACCCTCTGGATCCAGGAGGGGCTCCCCACCCCAAAAATCCCGGGATAACATTCCGGGATGGACGATTCATCCACACACACACGCAAAAAAAAGCCATTTTTGCCTCAGGGTTCCTCCTTTTTTTGCCCCTTGGAGAAGTGGAGCTGGGAATTCCAGGCAGGCTTGGGAATTCCAGGGAAATGGGGTGGTGAGGGAAAAATGCCAAAAATGACTTTGTTGGGAATGTTGCACTTTGGGGCGTGCAGGAGAGTTCCCACCTTCGGGAGAGGCTGAAATCCTGGGATGAATTTGGATTTCCTGCCGGATTCCAGCGTTGCCATCCCTGCTCTCACTTTGGAGTCTCAAGGAACGGGAAGTTCCAAAAACAAGGAAAAAAAAAACCCTTTTAGGACATTTTCTGTGATTTTTCCCTTCTGGAATCACTCTTGGGATGGAGAAGGAAAATCCCTCGCATCCAATGCTGTGCTTCCATAAAAAAACTTCATCCCTTCCGCGCCCTCCTTTTTCCTTGGAAGCTTCACCCTCCCAGTGGCACCGGTCGCTGCTTTCAATCCCTAATTTCTGTTCCATAATCATGAAGAGACCTCCCAGAAACTCTGGGAATGTGAAGAGATCTGGAAAAGTGGAGCAGAATGTGCACAGGGTCTTGCCGAGTCCTCTGGTAATTTATATTTTATTTAAAACCTTTGATTTTACTTGAAAGTCAATTTGTCCATGATTAAAAGTGGGATTTCTATGAACCTTTGGGCCTTGGGTCTTTTATTGGGTAATTCTCCAGCTGGAAAAACTTCCAAAAAGTGGGAAAATGCTGGAAAATGGGATGGTTTTATTATAGGAGAACTGGATAGATTTTTTTTATCATCTTTCATCAAAAATCCAGATGGTTTCAGTTGGGTTATTGTCCGTTTTGGATGGGTTTTGACCTTTGGACAGGGAATTTAGGCTGGAGCTGCTGAATTCCACCCAAATTTGGGAGCTGAACTTCTGTTCCTCCCACCCGGCACTTGCTGGAGTCAGAATTCCCTGGATTTGGAGAGGAATTTTGGAGTAGAATCTTGCACTGGATCTTTGGAGCTCCCAAACACTTTCCTTTGGCAAAGGGTGTTCCCCGAGCGATAAATCGGAGTTTGTGGGAGTTTCAGTGCAAATCTGGGAGTGCCAGATCCCACAAATCCAAGATCCCAGAACCCAGGGATCCCAAATCCCAGGGATCCCACATCTCACAGATCCCAAATCCCAGGGATCCCAGAGATCCTAGAACCCATGGATACCAGAGATCCCATACCCCAGCAATTCCAAATCCCAGGGATCCCAGAACCCAGAAATCCCACATCCCACAGATCCCACATCCCAGGATTCCCAGAGATCCCCCATTCCCAGATCCCAAGGATTTGCAGGAGGGGCTCAGCCGGAGCAGGCAGAACTCGGTGCCGTCTCCAGAGGGGGAAAATCAACCCCAAATTATTCCCACAGATCTTTCTGGGGCTCCAAAGGAATTTTCCATCCCACCCCTGGGAGTGATTCCTTTGGGATCCTCAGCCTGGAATTCCCAAGCCACGATGGGATTTGGCGTTTCCAAAGTTCATTTTCTTCCTACTCCTTTCTCCAGGCTCGGGACAGGGAAGCGGGGCAGGGAATGACCCCAAAATTTCCCGGCCCTTTAAACCCATCCCAATCCCTTTCCTTGCGGTTTTCCATGTGGAAAATGCCCCGATGCCTGGGAAGGCCGGGAATGATGGAGAGGAAGGGCGGCTCCCCCGGGACCCCCGGCGGGATCCGCAGCTGCGGGGAGGGAGCGCCCCGGGAGCGGGGACACCTCGTCCCGCCGGGCCATTGTCCCTCGGCAGGGCCATTGTTATCCCCAAAAGGCTCCCGTTCCCCAGTGCCGTTGTTATTCCCCAAATTCCATTGTTGTTCCCAAGGTCCCATTGTTCGGGCCATTGTTGGTACCAAATAATGCGTGAAGCTCCCGAGAGCCTCGGGGAGCCGGCGGCACTCCCTGTGTCCCTGTCCCTGTGTCCCTGTCCCTGTGTCCCTGTCCCTCTGTCCCTGTCCCCGTGTCCCCGTCCCTCTGTCCCTGTCCCTCTGTCCCCGTCCCTCTGTCCCCGTCCCTCTGTCCCCGTCTCCGTGTCCTCTCCCTTCCTGTGTCTCTGTCCCTTCTCTCTGTTCCTGTGTCCCTTTCCCTATCCCTGTCCCCGTGTCCCTGTCCCCGTATCCTTGTCCCTCTGTCCCTGTCCCCGTGTCCCTGTCCCTCTGTCCCTGTCCCCGTGTCCCAATCCATCCCTGGATCCCTCCAGAGCTCCTATTTAGGAAGGGCCTTTTCCCATCTAATGGGAAGAGACGGAGTCCTCCGGGGCCTGGGAGCCTCATTCACAGATTTCCCTGGGATGCGCTGTCGCTGCCTCCAGCCACGTTTTTTCTCCTTTTGCTTCCTAGAAATTTGCTCTTCGTGGTTTTTTGAGGAGAAACTTAATTTTCCCTGCTCCATCCTCATCCCTGGGGAGCTGCACAGCGGGAATCTGTCAGGAACACGGGAATGGGCGCAGGGTGGATCCTTTGTGCTTCCAGCATTTTGTCGGGAGCTTCCTGGGAGGAATTCTCCTTCCAGCACCAGGAATCCAATGGATTCCTTTGCTCCCTGCTCATCCCTGAGGGATCCCAGACATGGAATGAGAAGCACTCGTTCAGTGCCTCGTGCTGGGATTTTCCTTCTTCCAGGAAATCCTGTAGCTCCCGTTCTATGGGAGATCCCAGTGCTGATTGGCCTCTCCCCAGCCTTTTCCTGGAAGGCCAAGTGGGGAAATGAAGTTTTCCTTTCTCTGGGAACACCAGGAGCCAGTGCCAGGCCCCTGCACCTGCCAGGAAATGCTCCTGCTGCCAGGATTTCCCTGGCATTTGGGTTCTTCCCACCTTGGCTATGAAGTTTCCCAGAGGTTTGGAAAACGGGGAGCTGCCCTATCCTTGGATAAGTCCCAGGCCAGGCTGGAATAACCTGGGATAGTGTGAGGATCCCTGCCCATGGCAGGGGTGGGACAAGATGATTTTCTGTCCCTTCCCACCCAAACCATTCCAGGATTCCAAGCTGGAGAAATTCCCACAGGGATTAGACACAGAAATAGCTTTTTAGGGGGGGAATACAGATTCATTTCTCCAGAATTTTGAGATTTCCCAGCCCCTGGGATCTGGCTCTTCGATCTCCCATTGCAGGAACTTCCCACTAGATCCCTCAGCTGTGAGAACGGCCATGTGGCCCAAAAATACCTACAGGTTTTTGGGTATCTCCTGGATCATCTCTGCAGGGAAAAGCTTTTCGGGAGCTGCTCCCAGAATTGGAGAGGTCGAGTCGCCCCATGGAACAGTGGGATTGGGAGGCAATGAGCCTTTCCCAAAGAACAGCAAATTGGGGGAATTACAGCACCCAACGGCCCAAGGCTCATTTTTGGGAGCAGGGAGCGTGACTGGGACTCCTGGGTCAGAGCCCAGGTGTGTCCTTAGGGCAGGGAAAAATCCTGGGAGAAGGGATGGGACTGGGAATGGGAGCTGGGAGTGAGGCCAGGGAAGGGATTCAGCTGGATCTGGGATTTGTGCAGGGATTTGAGGTGAAAAGTCCATGTGCAAAATCACTGGATGCTGAAAATCGGGATCTGCTCTTCCGGCCCTGGCTCAGGGGCACGGGAAGCGCCTTTCCTGTTTCCCAGATCCATGCGGAGCAGTGTTGTTTCCCAGTGTGGAATTCCCTGGGTGATTCCGAGCTCTTCTCAAGCCCCTTTTTCCCGAGTGCTTTTCCCTTGGTTTTCCCCAGCTCTGGGATGAAGGGGGCAGCAAATTCCCTGAGTCCAGCGCGGAGCCTCGGCGAGCTTTGCCGGATCCCTGCGGAGATGTTTCATCCCAAGCTCTTCCTTCCATCAGCTGGAATTTTTCATGGATGCGCTGCCGTGTCCTCGCCCAACCCAGGCGCTGACACATTCCCTCCTCAGGCCCAGCTCCCTCATTCCAGCCAGGAAACGCTCCCTGGCTCCTCCCGGGACTCCTCTTCCCCTGATGTCCTGGGCTCCGCTGAGGCTTGGGATCCAATTCCCAGGGTTTGTCTTCTTCCCTGAGAATTCCTGGTGCAGGGAACGGAGCTGAGAGCTCATCCCATCACACCCCCTTCCCACATCCCAGGCTGCTCCCAATCCCAGAGATCCCACATCCCACAGATCCCTTATTCCAGAAATCCCATATCCCAGAGATCCCACCTCCCACAGATCCCTTATTCCAGAAATCCCATATCCCAGAGATCCCACCTCCCACAGATCCCTTATCCCGCAGATCCCACATCCCAGGGATCCCATATCCCAGAGATCCCATATCCCACAGATCCCTTATCCCGCAGATCCCACATCCCAGGGATCCCATATCCCAGAGATCCCATATCCCAAGAACCCTACGGATCCCTTATCCCGCAGATCTCAGATCCCAGGGATCCCTTCTCTGTGGAAGTGACTTGGGCACTTCCAGGGATACGGGGGCAGCCATAGCTCTGGGAATTCCATTCCAGCCCCCCTCCACCCTCCCAGCCAGGAATTCCTTCCTAAAATCCCATTTCTTTCCTTTAATGCCGATGTACAATCCAGCTCAACTTCCCTTCCCAATAAAAGAACATTGGAATTGCTTCCGGAGCTGCTGGAATCCGAGCAGACTCAGCTTTTCCAGTGGCTGGGAAGATGGAGTCGGTTTCTGAAGCAGGAATTACCTGGAGAAATACTGTCTGGGAAGGAATGGAAAAGCTGGGAAGAGGGAGGACTCCTGCTGGGGATGTTCATGTGGGGGGTGGCACTGCCCCAATGGAAACTCGGCCAGAGCTGGGAATGAAACCTGGAATTTTTAATGCCAGTGGATTGAATGAAGCTGGAATTGCTGTGCAGGAGGATCCCAGAGTAGAGCCCTGTGCTAGGGAAGCACCAGCTGGAAAACACTCTGAAACAGGAATGCACTGGATAAATGGAAATATTCCTTCCAAAGGTACCTTTGGGAATATTGTTTGGAAAATCCCAAACAGAGACTGAAACAGCCAGGGGAGAGAAACACCAGGGAATAATTTGGAATCTGGGAAATGCTGACGCTGCTGCCCAAAACTGGCTCAGGAGATGGAATTCCAGGGATTTCCAGGGATTCAGATCCCACTCAGTTTCCTGTTACTTTCACACTGGAAGCAAAGGGAATAAAGAGAATTTTTAGGATGAAACCAAAGCCTGAATGAATGGGGTGACTTTAAAACCTCCCCGGCTGAGAAGATGCCAGAGGTTCGGAATGATACGAGATCGAACTCTGATCTTTGGGAACTGCTCCCACCTGGGAATTCTCCAGGATTTGTTATTTTTCCGTGAGGAACTGATTTTAATCTTTGTGACTCGTGGGGAGTAACTGCAGGACAAGCTGGGATAATAATAATAATAGTAAATAGTAATAAATAATAATATATATAATATATATGTAATATATATATAAGATATAATATATATAATATTATATATAATATTAAGTCATATATAATTAATATTATATATAGTATTAATAGATAATAGATAACAGATAATAGATAACAGATAATAGATAATAGATAATGGATAATGGATAATAGTAAATGAATAAAAATAATATATAATGAATAATAAATAATACATTTAATAATAATTACAATGATAATGAATAATACAATGATAATGAATAAGAAGATGATGATGATGATGATGATAATAATAACAATAATAACAATAATAATAACAATAACAATAATAACAATAACAATAATAATAATAATAATAATAATAATAATAATAATAATAATAATAATTCCCTGCTTGGCTTTGAGCTGCTGTATTAGCGAGTTTAAGGAATATCCAGCAGCTGGAAAAGCGGGATGCTGAAAGTGGGGGAATTCCAGCGCTGGGAATTCCAGGAGGCTGCTCCACAAAGCTCTGGAATTGCAGGGACTAAATCACCTCGGAACCCTTAAACACTAAAACTTCACCCCGGGGGCCGGGATAACTCCCAGCCTTTATTCTCTGGGAATAAAAATTCACACTCCAGATCCCTTTTTTTTGGGGGGGGAAGCGTTTTCTGCCCCCTCCCGGGAGGAGGGAGCGCTGATCTCACGGGGGGCGGCTCCTGGGAGGGGTTTGCCAAGTAAATCCAGTGAAATTGGGCAGGAAGCAGCGGCTCCTCCGGCAGCCGCACATTTCCCTGCCCGCGGGAGGATTTTTCCAGCGGAGGGAAGAGCTGGAAGCAGCGAACCGGGGCTGAGCTTCCCCCCAATCCAGGTAAATTCGGGGCTGCCGGACTCGGGCTGTGGTCGCGACAAAAAAAAAAAAAGTGAATTATTGCTTGAGGAATTCCAACATTTCTGAGCCTTTCTCTCTTCGGGGCTCAAAGTTTCATTTCCCTTCTTCCTTTTTCTCCCTCTCCCACCGAGATAAAAGATTGGAGGGAAAAACTTTTCTGTTTCTCCCAGTTCCCGTTCCCCGAGCTGGGTCTGGCCGGGCTGAGACACCGAAGATTTTCAGAGTCGTTTTTTTAAAGAAGTCCTGGCCGAGCTGGAGATTTTTATCCCTTTTTTTTTGCTCCCAGCCGCTCCCGGCTGGAATAAAAACCGAGTTGCAAACTGGCCGCGAGTGCCTGAGCTTAGATCTTGGTAAAATATCCCGAATTTCCAGCAGAAAACCTGGATTGGTGCCACCAGCCCCGGGAAAATCGAGGAGGCTCCCGGAGTTCTCCTCTCTGGATAATTCCCGTTTTTCCAGAGGGAAAAACTCCGGGGCAGATGTTTGGCAGAAGGTGCAAAATGTGTCCTTAATTAAGGATTTATTTTTCTGCTGTCACTGCTGGGGATCTCCGAATCTACCAGCAACTCCTTCGGAGCTGATTTATCCCGGTAATTTTTAGGATTTTAGGATTTAGGATAATCCACCTTGAAAGCTGCCCCGGAGAAACGCGGGATGCTCAACCCGACCCGAGCTCACCAAGAGTTGTAATTAATATTTCCTTCCCGATGAGTTTTTGGTGTTAATTAAGCAGCTGTGGCCGCGTTCAGAAAGAAGATCTGAGCCCAGATAATTTAGAATATTAGAGAGGAAGATCCAAGTTTGGGTATCTGGGAGCGCAGCAGGAAAATAATTCATCATCCCCACAATCAGCTCCTAAAGGTGATTCCAGCATTTCCTGGATACAGCCTGAAAATCATGGATTTAGGGCTCCTCCTTCCCAGTTTTCCTCTGCACTGAGCCACCCACGGTGGTGGAATTTCCTCGGCTGGGGAGCAGGGAGGAGTTAAAATAATACTAAATGAAATAAAAACGCGAATTGCTGGAATATCAGAGTTCTCAGGGAGAAACCGCACCTTGGAGACAGGGCTGGGAGCTTCAGGAGGGAATTTCGATAATCCTGGTCCCAAAGGAAGGAGGATGTTTGGAAACATCCCCAAAAATGGGTTTTTAAGGGAAATTTAATCCTTCAGGTGGTGCTGAGGCTCAGAATTCCAGTCAAAGCCAGCAGGAGCTTCGTGGGTGCAGAAATGAGAATTTTTGGTGAAGAAACTTCAGGGAAGTTTGAGCAGCTTGGAAAAGCCCTCAGGATTGCAGGGCTTTGTAGCCCAGGACAATGTTCCTGCCTTTGGCGGCTGATTTAATGGAAAATCCATGAGTTTTGCTGGAAATTCTCTCCTTTTCCAGGCTGAGACCCCAAAACGCTTTCCCAGTAATGAGCTCTGGGTTTTTTATCCGTAATTTGACTCCAGATTTCATTGTCTTTACTGTCCCTGTGCTCCATTCTGCTTTCTTTTCTGCTCTTTAATTTAGATTAATTTTTTCCCTTTTATTCCTCCTGTTCCTGGGCTCTTCCAGAGCATTCCTGGGGTGGCTCCAAACCCGAGCACCCAGTTCTGGGCACTGGGACGACCCCCAGCTCACACAGGGGATTTTCAGAACCCTTTTTTTGGCCCTTTTTTGTCCCACGTTTCCCATGCTCCATCCACAGATATGCAAAAAAAGAAGGAAAAGTTCCACTCACAATCCACGGCAACGCCGCTGGAAGTTTGTTATTCCAAGAGGGATTTCCCAGGAATAACAGCAGGCTGGTTTGGAGCCCTGCTGTCCCGCTGGAGGATTAGGGAGCATTAATTAAAACAGCATCACTCAGAGGGTGAGGAATGATCCCCTCCTCCCGGGAGGATTTCAGATCCACCTGGAAATCCTCTCTGAACCTGAATTATCTCCAAATTTGAAATCTTCAATGATTTCAGATCCTTGAAATATGGGATGTTCCAGCCCAGGCTGAGCTCTGCTCACACAGAATCCTCCTCTGGGGTCAATTCTCCTCTTCAGGTGGATTTTTGGTGTTGAATTTAAGGAGATGTTGCTGTGTGGAGATAAAAAAAAAAAATTAAAGAGAGCTTAGGGCATTACAGAGATCCTGGTTTAGAAATCCAGGAATGCAACAGGAATATTTTTTCCTGTATCAGGAGAAATTGATCACAATTATAAGGATATATTTAAAAGGATGTTTATAAGGATATGTTAATAAGGATATATTTCAAAGCATGTATTTATAAGGATATGTTTATAAGGATATATTTTAAATGATACAAGGATATATTTTAAAGGATATAAATATATATCCTTTAAATATATATTTTATATTAAATAAAATACTATTTTATTTATTGATATTAATAATCAATAAATTATTGATTTATTTATACTGATTTATACTGTTTATAAGGATATATTTATAAGGATATATTGATAATTATAAGGATAAATGCCCTAAGATTTGCAAGGACACGGGAATTTTTCCAGGGATCAACACCCGGCGCCACGGCCAGCACCTTTCCTGAAGGGACTCCGCTGAGCAGCTCCCAAATCCAGGCCGACCTCATCCCAGGGAATGTCAGGATTTTATCCCCTTTAATCATTCTGGAGAGCTCCTCCAGTGGCATCGGTGGAGCGTGGAATTGGGGATGCAGGGATGCCCGGGATGCCCGGGATTCCCAGTTCCAAGTGGCTGAACACCAACGGCTGGGAGCTCCCGGGACAATCGGGATAATTGTCCCCAGCTCCCGAGGGATGTGGAGCACAAAGGGCTTCCAGCCAGCATTCCAGACTTTCCTTTGGATGAGGATGGGAGCAGGGAAGTGCCTGGTTCTGGGGTTTGTCCAGCTCATCCATTCTTTTGGTGATTGGATGGGATTTAAAAGGGGAGTTTTGGCTGGGATTCGGCTCCAGAGCGGAGCAGGCTCTGTCACAGCTGGGGAGGTGCTGGAGAAGGAAAAGCTCAGGATTTGGGAGCTTTGGGAGGTCCATGAAAAGGAGGGAGAGGGATTTTAAATGCCAGGGCAAGGGACAATGGTTTGAAACTGCCAGAGGGAAGGGATGGATGGGATATCTGGAAGGAATTCTTGGCAGGGAGGGGCTATGGTGGAATTCCCAGAGGAGCTATGGCTGCTCCTGGATCCCTGGAATTGCCCAAGGCAAGGCTGGAGCAGCCCAGGACAGCGGGAGGTGCCCAGGGTGGGAATAGATGGGATTTAAATCCCAACCCATCCCATGATTCTATACCAATCCCATGGTTTTTCCTGGCCATCCGTGCTTCTGTTCCTTTCAAGACCCAGGATGGGAGCCCTGGAAGGGGCTGAGTCAGCAGCCACCAGGATCAAGCCTGGAAATTGCACATTCCAGCAGGGCTGGATCTCAGCTTCCAGCCTGGAACACGGCACCATGGGTTTAACACCCTTAAATCTTGGATTCCTTCCAGTGGAGAGCCCAAAATGGCATCAGGAATGAGTCTGGAGGTTCTTAGAGGCTGTCAGGGGAGAAATGAGCCCAAAAGAAAGGGAAAATCCATCCCAAACTCCAGGACTGATTCTCAGGGAGTTCAGCATGTGCAGCTCCCTCAGATCTGTGGGAAAATGTGTCCCAGCGTCGCTAGTTTTGCTGGAATATTTTCCATGTTAAGTTGTGTTATTGTGGTTTTCTCTTCCCCCATCATGTGTGGGTGCAGTTGGCTCTGCCAGGTGCTGCCCCTGCCCTTTAAAGGATTTTTTCCAGCTGTGGTTGAGCCATCCTGGCTGCAGCTGAAGGACAGGGAGAGTTTTCCTGGATATCAGAGCCTTGAAATGTCCCAGAGCTGAGGAGGGAGGTTTCAGGAAAGAATAATTCCAGGATTTCTGTTGTGCTGAGGAGTGAAGGAGCTGCCGGGTGATTGTTATCGATCCTCTAAACCAGCCCTGGCCTCGAATCCCAGCGGGAAAGAACCTGGATGCTGTGGATCAGAGCCATGGAATGGTTTGGGTGTGATGGGACCTTAAATCCCAACTCCTTCCAGCCCCTTCCACCATCCCAGGGTGCTCCAAGCCCTGGTCTTGGAGACTTCCAGGAACAGGGCAACCACAGCCTGAGCTCTCCAATGCCAGAATTCCCTGTTTACCCTGCTGTCCACTCGGGACAGACAGAAGCTGAGATCCCATTTAAGTGCTGAAGCCTTGGGAGTTTTCCCTGGATTCTGCCGAGTTCCTGAAGTTTCCCCATTGGACCTGGGCCGTTTTCTGTGGGAACCCCAAGTCATGGCTGTGGACAAATCCCTCTGGATTCTGCTTTTCCTGGCTTCACCTGAGGACATTCTCAATGAGCTGGGGCTGTGGGAGTGGGAGGATTTTTGGGGGATTTGTCTCCTGCTGTTTGGGATTGGGGGGAGCACGGGGCACTCTTGCTGGCCCCATCTTGTATAGAATTCCCCCAGGATTTTTGTATTTTTGGGATTTCTGAGTGGTTTCCCAGTGCCTTCCCCTAGAGGAGCCACTCCTGATCCCACAGCAAAGATGGGACACGCTGCTGCTCCACCTGGGTGCCCTGAGCCATTTTCCCTCGGGAAGGGTTGGGAATGTGTTCCTACGATCTCAAAATTCTTTTTTCCTGGCTGGAATTCCCTCTGTGGTACAGGGAACATTATTCTCTCTCACCAGGATTTCTCCAGCTCTGAGTTTTCCCCTTCCCCTGTGTGGGGCCAGAGGTTGGACTCGGATGATCCTTGTGGGTCACTCCCCACTCAGGATACCCGATGATTCCCAAATCCCGAAATTTCTGGGGAACAAAACCAAACCCGTTTTGGGCTCCGGGGCAGCCCGGCTCAGCAGGGCTTTGCCAAGAGTGAAAGTTCCACCTCCTGGCTCTGCTCTAATCCCAATTAGTGTCTCCCAGGCTAATCTTGGTCCCAATTAAAGCAACCTGGAACTCTGCCGTGACCTTCCCCTCCCTCCCAGCTGCTCCCGAGGTCTCCCAGCGCCGGGATTCTTGGAAAGGCTCTGGCATCTGGCAGCGCTCCGGCTGCTCGGGTCATTAACACCTCCAGGAACCACCCCCAGCCCTCCTCCCGATGCTTTCCCCAAATTGTTGTGTCTTTTGGCTCCAGTCCTTCGTGGCTGCGGAGGTTGGAGCAGGGAAAGGGCTGGAAAGGGAAATTCGCAGCTCGGAGCCGCTCCTGTATCCCGGGGGAGCCCCTCGAGCAGGGCTGACACGGGTCCCTGTTTTTCTTGGCACAGGGGCAGGTTCTGGGCTGCTGGAGCCTTTTCTCCTCTGGGATATCGGGGTTCAGCTGGCACCAAGCTTTCCGCAGGCTCAGGAATAAAACAAAGCTGACCCAGGGAGGGTGGAATTTGTTCCTATTCTGTTGAAGATGCTGAAGCTCTGCCTCTGACAGCTGCAGGCTTTGACTGGGGGGCTGCTCTGCTCTTTATCTGCCTTTTCCTTCCCAAACCTCCCCGGCATGGCTGCAGCACCATCCAGATGCTCCCAGAATCAGAGATACAGATGTTCATCATCAGACCCTGCGGTCTCGGCGCATGGGACAGCCCTGGGAAGGCTTTGGAAACCCAAAGGATCCCCTTGAAACCCTGCTGGGAGTCTGGGGTGAGATGGGCCTCCTCATCTGGAATTTAGGGAGAGGTTCTGCAGCCTCGTTTCGTTCCTGAGGAGTTTTGCTGAGGTTTCAAAAACTCTCTTCCTGCAATAGCAGGGGTGGAGCCGATCAATCCAGATGTGTGGGGATGGAGCTGATCAATCCAGATGTGTGGGGATGGAGCTGATTAATCCAGATCTGTGGGGATGGAGCCGATCAATCCAGATGTGTGGGGATGGAGCTGATCAATGCAGATCTATGGGGATGGAGCCGATCAATCCAGATGTGTGGGGATGGAGCCGATCAATCCAGATGTGTGGGGATGGAGCTGATCAATGCAGATGTGTGGGGATGGAGCTGATCAATGCAGATGTGTGGGGATGGAGCTGATCAATGCAGATGTGTGGGGATGGAGCTGATCAATGCAGATGTGTGGGGATGGAGCTGATCAATGCAGATCTATGGGGATGGAGCTGATCAATGCAGATGTTCAGGGATGGAGCAGTTCAATGCAATGTTCAGGGATGGAGCTAATCAATGCAGATGTTCAGGGATGGAGCTGATCAATCCAGATCTATGGGGATGGAGCTGATCAATGCAGATGTTCAGGGATGGAGCTGATCAATCCAGATGTGTGGGGATGGAGCCGATCAATCCAGATGTCCAGGGATGGAGCTGATCAATGCAGATGTTCAGGGATGGAGCTGATCAATGCAGATGTTCAGGGATGGAGCTGATCAATGCAATGTTCAGGGATGGAGCTGATCAATGCAGATGTTCAGGGATGGAGCTGATCAATGCAATGTTCAGGGATGGAGCTGATATGGGGATGGAGCCGATCAATGCAGATGTTCAGGGATGGAGCTGATCAATGCAGATGTTCAGGGATGGAGCTGATCAATGCAGATGTTCAGGGATGGAGCCTGAAGCCAAACATTTCAAACTGAAACCTGAAGCTCAGATTTTCTGCAGGGCTTGAGGCTCTGCTGAGGGGAAACTCCTCCCCTCTGGTGTTTGGACTCACAACTCCCACCTGTCCTTCCCTGCCATGATCCACGGGGATTCCTGGAATTTTTGATCCATCCAGGAGCATCTCTGTACCCCTGTTTATCCCCTGGATCCACAGGGGTTCCTGGAATTTTTGATCCATCCAGGAGCCTCCCCTGCCCCTGTTTCTCCCCCAGCTGAGCCTGTCCCGTGTCCATTCAAACATCATGAGAGGATTCTCCAGGTGCTGCTGGGTTTGGGACAGGGGTGTGTGACTGGGACCAGTCCAGGTGCTGGAGCTCTGGGATCCTGGATCACTCTGGAGCTCTGGGATCCCTCTGATCCTGCCCTGCCAGCTGCATTCCCATTGGAAAATCCCCTCTCCTCACTGCCAGAGGGAGCAGCAACTGTGTTTCTGTTCTTTCTGAGCTGGGGCAGGACCCAATTTTATTCCTTTCTCTCAGCCTCACCTCCCAACCTACAAAAAAATTGGCTCCTCAAACCCCAAAATTTGTTTCCCAATATTTTTTTCCCCCCCTCACATCCCCACCTCATCCTGATTTAGGATTTCCTGTTTCCCCTCCAGTGCTGGGCTTTCAATCCCTGCGCTTCTGCTTCATTTCTCCCTTCCTCAGGCAAACGCTTTTCATTCCCAGCTCTCATTCCAGCGGGAATCTCCTGAGCCCCATCCCTGTTTAACCCACAGGGAAACTGAGGCACAGCCCTGGAAATGACCGGGAATTCTGATCCATGTCCTCCTCGAGCAGCTTTCAAGGCTGTCCATGGATTTTGTGTCTTTATGTGAAGATGTGATTTTTCTGGGAATTTTTGTTAGGGATAGACCAGATTTAGCTGGAATTCCAGATAATTTGAGTTCCTAGACATCTCCTTTGGAGCCAGATCTTCCCTTACTCCCTCCCCTCTGGTGGCTGCCAGGAAATACTGGAGCTCCGACGGCCTGGGGAGATTTTTCCCACTGAGCTCTGGTGTTGTTTCACTTGGAAATTCCAAAATCTTCACCCCCACGTGTCCTGCTTGCCCACTCCGTGTGCCTGGATGCCAGTGGGGAGCAGGAAAAGAGCAGGATTCCACAGGATTCAGTTCCTGGATGAAAAATCCTCTCATGAGTCAGAAGTTGCCCGTTCCTACCTTAAATTGTGCTTGTGGAGTACTTGGATGACAATAAATCCCCATCCAGACTCGCAACCAAAACCTGGAGATGTTTTCAGCTCTTCCAAAGTTCTCCAAGGCTTCTGCCAAGTGTCTGGTGATGTTTTGAGTTTCTACAGACGGAACCAGATGTGAAAGGACCAGAAATAAATCTTTTATCCCATTGGGAACAGAGCCTTTGGGATGAATCCCTCCCTGCTGGCTGTGAAATTTCCTCACCATCCTGGTTTTTCACTGTTTGTGGTGGGTTTGGATTCTTGATGGAGAGAAAAAACAGTTCAGTTCTGTCCTGGCAGGATTTGGATGAAGTTTTCCTGCTGGATTTGTGGAGAAACAGGAAAGTCATTTGCAGCAGGGAGAATTTTACCTGGGAAAAATCTATTTTTGGGGTGAAATGATGTGCCGAGCTGCCCTCAACTTCTAAGCAGAGGAGGTTTCACTTTGTTTCTCCACCCCACAAGAAATAATTGACCCTACCTTGTTTTTCCCAGGCGGCCTTGGGGATAACCTCAATCCCCAAGAGACAGAAATTTTATATCGTGACAAACTTTAACCAAAATCTCATTTTCCTCCAGGACAGCCCTGCCTGCGCTCCCCGGCTCTGGCTCTGCAAGCACCGAGGATGGGAAGATCTCGAGGTTTTCCCTGCAAGCCCAGCCTGCTGCTGCTGCTCCTGGCCCAGCTGAGCTGCGCCCAGTATGAGCCCTGGCCGTACCTGCCTGGCTACCCCGAGCCGGCCCCGCCACCGTTCCAGGCGCCCCAGAGAGCCCCAAATGTCCCCAAAATCCAGCTGAGGCTGGCAGGGCAGAAGAGGAAGCACAATGAGGGCAGGGTGGAGGTGTTCTACAATGGCGAGTGGGGCACCGTGTGCGATGACGACTTCTCCATCCACGCCGCCCACGTGGTGTGCCGGGAGCTGGGATACGTGGAGGCCGTGTCCTGGCTGCCCAGCTCCAAGTACGGAAAAGGAGAAGGTGAGGGGGTCTTGGAATAGCAGGAGGGGTTTTCCAGCTCCCAATAATATTTTTTTGGGTTTTGGGTGTCTCTCCTGCTGGGATACGTGGAGGCCGTGTTCTGGCTGCCCAGCTCCAAGTATGGGAAAGGAGAAGGTGAGGGGATCTTGGAGCAGTGTGGGGAATCTCACCAGATTCCAATAATCCCTAATTTTGGTTGAATTGATGAGTTTGTGGTGTTTGGTGCTGTGCTGGGTGGGTTTGGGATCCGTGAGGTAAAAAAGGTGTGAAATTATTGGAAAGCATCCAAAGGATGGACATGGGGATGGGGAATGGCCTGGAGCAGCTGAGGACACTTGGAAAGGAGGAGACCGAGGGGAGAATTCTGGGATCTGCTCCTGCCCAGGGACAGCTCCGATCATTCCATGACAGGGATGGGGTCCAGGCAAAGCCAGAGCTGTGCCAGGGAGGATTTAGGCTGGATTTTAGGGAAAACTTCCACATCACATGACTCCAGAGGAGTCTGAATGTTTCCTATCCTATGGGAATAACAATTGCTGTATTATATGGGAATAACAATTACTGGATTTATGGGAATAACCATTTTGGTGCCTTCAGGCTGCTTCTGGCAGGGAAAAGCTGTTCAGCCTCATCCCAAATTTTGTCTAATGGAATCATGGAATGGGTTGGGTTGGAAAGGAGCTTAAAATCGTCCGATCCCACCCTGGGCACCTCCTGCTGTCCCAAGCTGCTCCAGCCTGGTCTTGGGCATTTCCTGGGATCCAGGGGCAGCCACAGCTCCTCTGGGAATTCCATCCCAGCCTTTCCCCACCGTCCCAAGGAGGAATTCCTTCCCAAAATCTCATCTAAATTTCCCCTCTTTCACCTTCAAACCACTCCTCTTGTCCCGGGGATGTTTTTTCTCCTTGTCCTTTCATGCCCTCTGAACTCACACCTGGTGGAAATGTGGAAAATCCCACCTGAATCCCAAATATCGGCTGGGCAAACCCTTGGAAAGGAGAATGTTTGTGTATGGCAGCCGGGAATTCCTGAAATCACCGAGTCTGAGAAGGAAAACTCTGGAATAACCCAGGAATAACAACAAATCCGTGTAAGGACGGATGCCCCAAAGGATTTATGGGATTTGGGATTGACTCTTGTTATACAGAGGGTTTTTCCTGCCCTCCCTGGAGCCTGGTGGATCCCACAGGGATAAAATTCCACTCGGGAGAGTGATCCTGCTGCTCTGGGGTGGTTTTCAGCAATTTTGGAGTGCTCACACCTCTAAATGTCCCATAAAAGAGCAAGTGGGGCCCGAGGGAAATTGAAAACCTGGAATGGGATCCCAAATTTGTGGATTTTGGCTCTGGAGGCAGAGCAGGAGATTTCCAAATGAGGAAGAGGCTGAGACACCAGAAAACAAACTGGGCTGGCCATGGGAGGGAGAATCCCCCGGGAAATCCCAAATCCAGGCTCTGGAGGGACTCCCTGATTATTAATTTAATATTAATCTAATATTATTATTAATTAATGTCAGTTAATAAGTATTGAATATTAATTATTATTTATTATATTTAATATTGATATTAAATAAATATAATATTTACTTAATATTTTAAATCAGTATATTTCTTTGGTATTTAATGAATATCTCATCGTAAAAATCAATTAAATATAATGATATATAAGTAAATACATTTATTTATTTAATATTTTAAATCAGTTCTTTGATATTTAATGTATATTTCATTCTATCATTCAAACATATCTAAGTAAATATATTTCTTTAATAATTTAATTTGATTTCTTAATTTAATGAATATATGAGTCTATCAATCAATCAAATAGACATAAATATATAATTAAATAAATATTTCTTTAACATTTCAATATAGATTTATTGATTTCATTTTTTATAATTTTCCTATATAATCTATTCTATATTTTAATATACAATATATAATATAATATATATTATAAAATATATAATTTTATATATTTAAATATATATTATTATATAATGTAGTCTATAATTATATATTTGTATTTTTATATATACAATATATACATTATATATAATGTATTATAATATATTATATATATTAAATATATATATTAAATATATATAATTATATATATTATATATAATATATTATATATAATATCATATATGATATAATATATATTAAATTAATATATATTAAATATATATATTAAATATATGATATATATTAAATATATATTAGTTACATTTATATATTTCTAATATTTTTTAAAATATTAAATATGTGCCTGTGCACACATAGCAAGGAATAAATGGGAATTCCAGGCTGGAAAGTGGAGCTGGAATTTTCATTTTCCAAGAGCCCCCAGACAACAGCAGCTTCCAACACTGGTGAGAGGTGCAAAAATCCCATTTTTCAGGTGTTTCAGGAATCTTGGAGCTGCTCCCACCCAGGATTATATGTGGATTTGATAAATCAGGAATGATTTGAGGGTGATGGGAGGGCAGGGCCTAACCAGTGAAACTGGGGGCATGGAATGATTTTAATTGGAATTTTCAGCACTGATCTCTGCAGCAGCACAGGCTGGAGGTGGATTGTTATTCCCAAACAGATAAAGGATGGGAAAAGCCGTGGGCCAGAGCATTTCCCAGTCCATCAATCCTTGAGGTGCCGCTTTATTCACCTTGATTTTCACGCCAAGAGTGAGACCCAGCACTTCCCTGGAATCCCGATTCAGGGAATCTCAGTTGTGTTTTCCTTTTCTTGGAATGTCAGTTGTGTTTTCCTCCTTTTGGAATCTCAGCTGTGTTTTCCTCCTTTTCCAGGGAAAATCTGGCTGGACAACGTGCACTGCACGGGCAAGGAGAGCAGCCTAGCTGCCTGTGGCTCCAACGGTTGGGGTGTGAGCGACTGCAAACACACCGAGGACGTGGGCGTGGTGTGCAGCGAGAAGAGGATCCCCGGCTTCAAGTTTGACAACTCCCTAATTAATCAAATTGAGGTAATTTGGGATAAAAATGATCATCCAGAGGCAGGGATGGCTGGGAGCGATGTAAGTGATGGGTTTATTCCATGTTTATCCGGCAGGTTTCTCCGTGTTATTCATTTATTCTATGTTTATTCCATATTTATTCACATGATCAATTTATGCCGTATTATCCCATATTTATTCACATTATCAATTTATTCCATATTTATCTCTTCTATTTATTCACATTATCAATTCATCCCATATTTATTCCCATTATCAATTTATCCCATATTATCCTATATTATCCTATGTATTTATTCCCATTATCAATTTATCCCATATTTATGCCCATTATTAATTTATCCTATATTTATCCCATATTTATTCACATTATCAATTTATTCCATATTTATCTCTTTTATTTATTCCCATTATCAATTAATCCCATATTTATCTCATCATTTGGATTAAAACAAACTCCTGACTGCTCCTAGCTAGGCTGAAGAGGAAAATTCAGGTTCCAATTTCAGATTTGAAACGGTCTGAGATTTGATTTGATTTTAGATTATATTATTTTAATTATTATTTTATTTTTCATTAATGTTATTTTATTTATTATTTTATTTATATTATTTTTTTTTTTTATTTTATTTATTATTTTATTTTAAGTATAAATTATTGCAGTTCCTCAGTCAAGTTTTCAAAATCAAAACCTGGTAATATTCCAAAGGATTTATTTAGAGAGGCAAAATCTGTGCTGTGCTTCCAGAACTTCCTGACTTTTTTTGCTTCCAATGGACCAAAATCCTGAGTTTTCCCCCCATTTTAACTCCAGTTTGGAGCTCTCTGGGATAATGGGGGCAGCAGGAAGGGCGGGATTTGGGCTGGAATAATTCCTAATAGCTGGATTTATAGGGAAGGGATAAAAATGGAATTTTGCATCGTTTGGATAAGCAGCGATGGAGAAGTCGTGATCAAAGCATGGGAATATTTGTGGGAATGCGGGATTCCTGCTGGAAAGGAGGAAGGGAAGGCGTGGGGAAGGTTCTGGGCTCTCACTGGGAGGCTGAGGGGGAGATCTGGGTAAATGACAGAACCAAAGGGCATGGAGCACATCCCGGTGGGATTTCTGCAGGATAAAGAATGTGGGAATGCTGGGCTGGAAGGGACCTGGGATGAGCTTGACAGAGGTGGAAAAAGGGAATTTTTCCTTCAGCTCCTCAGCTCGGGGAGTTTGTGGTGCCTCGGGCACCTCCCTGTTCCTAGATTTTTCACTGTCTCAATTCCCTGCCTGTCCTTGGCCAAAATTTATGGAAAGACCCTGCTGTAAGCATTTCCCAGAGCTCCTTTTGAGCATCCAGGGAAAATCCAGGATGTGCTGAATGTTCCAGCATGGTCCCCAAGGATGAATCCCTGGGTTTGTCTGGGAGCTGGAATGGGATGAGCAGGCAGCGCTCAGCATTCCAGGGAAGGGCTGCAGCTCCAGGATCTGAAGGATTCAGTTCCTCTCCTTGCCCTGACCTCGCTTCCCCTGGCTCGGGAGGGATCATCCAGAGCTGCTCCATCAATGGCTCAGTTGTGTCTCAGGGAATGAGGCAGGATCATGGAACACCAGGGGTGGCTTTGGCTCCTCCAAAACCACAGAGAGTCCTCAAAACACCTGGATGAAAATCTGGTTTAGTCTAGACAGAGGTCACCTCACCCCGAGCTGCTCCAGGAATTAATCATAGAAGCTTTGGAGGGCTCTGCTCTTCCATTAGCTCAGCACCAGGGCTGGATGAGCGGAACATGTCAGATAATCGGGAATGAGTTCTGGGACCTCAGATGAATCATGAGACGATTCATGGAGCAGAAGCCTGGATGCATCAGCAGGAGGAATGGATGGAAAAGGGAGAAGTGGAATTCGTTGTCAGGAGCTGCAGTGAGTGGGATGGAAGCGCTGTTTCCCTGGGCAGAGCCTGCTGCACCCCCTGCTGCACCCCCTGCTCATCCCCTGCCTGCCCCGAACTGACAGAAACAGCAGGGTAAAAATAGAAATTAGGGACAAAAAACCTTCCCTGGGAGGCTGTGGAGGAGCTGGAATGGAATTCCAGAGAAACTGTGGTTGCCCCATCCCTGGAAGCACCCAAAACCAGCATGGAGCAACCTGGAATTTTTCCTGCCCGAGACAGGGGTGGCACTGGATGATTTTGAGCTCCTTTTCCCACCCAAACCATTCCAGGATTCTTTATCTTCCTGGATGATTTTAAACTCCTTTTCCTATCCAAACCCCATTCCAGGATTCTTTATCTTCCTAGATGATTTTAAGCTCCTTTTCCCCACCCAAACCATTCCAGGATTCTGCTTCTCCCTGAATTTCATAAACCTTCCCACCACAGCACTGCTTCCGATCTGCAAAACCCAGATGATTTTTCCTCTCTCCCTGTAAAATAAAATCCCTGGAGCTGAAGGGTTCCTTCCCTGCTGCTTTCCTTGCAGCAGGATTAAGGCTGGAGGTGAGGAGCTGGAATGTTTAGGATGCCATCAGTGTGGCTCCTTGCACTCACAACCAGCTGTCAGGTGTTACAGCTCCTTCCCCCTCCGAGTTTTCCTTCTCTTATCTTTGCTTTATCTCCTCCGTGGGCCACAGCTGGAGCCAAAAATGAGGAGGAGGGTGGCCCAGGGGGTCACAAATCCACACCAGGGAGGTCCAAAGCCTCCTGTGAAGGCGAGCTTGGAAGTCTTTGCCCTTTCCAGCATGCCTGGGAATTCTGCAGGTCATTCCTTGCATTCATCAGGAGAAGCATCATCATTTGTGAGCTCCTGGGATCCTCCTGGAGACCAGAGCTTGTCCCAGTGATGTTTTCTCTTTGGAATGAGATGTGAGGGGGCTGGAATTTCCTCTGAGCACTGCTGTGGTCAGGACTCCCATCAGCACTGACAGAACAAAAGCAGCGAGATCCCAACAGGATTCCCAGGGGATGAGATTGGCCTTCAGCTGCTGCTCAAACCAGGCTTTACTAAAATAGGCCTGGCTGGAGGTGCTAAACTGAGCTCAGGTGTCAGATCCTGCATTCCCACCCTGGTTGTGATTCCCAAATGGATCTGGCTGTGTGCACAGCCTATGGATTAACAGGATTTTGGTGCCTGTGATCCCAGGGAATGGCTGGAGCTGGGCCACGGAGGTTTTGTTGGCTATTAGTGTGAAAAACGAAGTTCACTCCTGTAAAATTTTAAAAATGTTTAATAAAGACAATAAGAGACATAAAGTAAAGCAAAGAGATATGGCCAGGTGCCTTGGTGCGCTGCCAAGAGCACACCTGGTATCTCAGGAGTGTCCTTTTTGTCCCATCCTTGCTGTGAGAGGTTAATGCATATTCAAGCATGTCCCCTCCCTGGTTCCACCTTCTTGGATCATGTTTTTTTTTTCAATTTTATTTTCTGCTGGTCAGCATAATTTTTGCTGGTCATCATTATTCTAGCTGGTCAGCATTATTTTGGAGTTTTTGGTTTCCTTTCTGCTGCAGATGGTCACTTGTTGATAAGAGTCCAGGCCCCTTATACTTCCTCAGAGAGCAGATGGGCTTCATATCTTTCCCCCTTGCCAACGTCCTGGTACCAGCTTTTTGATAACAGTTTGCTCTCCATTTCCTGCTGCTGATAATAGCTTGTTTTCCACAGCTTGATCCTCCCATTGTCTTGCCTGTTGGAGTTATCTTGCCTTCTCCAGATGAGACATATCCTTACCATTCAGAATTCCTATCTAAGCCTGTAACTTGCTAAGAGAGTGTCATGGTCAAGAATATAGTGAAAGCATATAATATATTTATCAGAATAATTGTGAAAAGCCAATATTTACAACATGAATTCACAACATTAGGAAAGGTTTCTTCACCTTGAGGGAGGCCTTGGGCTCTTCCAGGGATCCAGGGGCAGCCACAGCTCCTCTGGGAACTCCATACCTGCCCTTTCCCACCCTCCCAGCCAGGAAATCCTTCCCAATACCCCACCCAAATCTCCCCTTTTCCAGTGGGAATCCATTCCCTGTGTCTCTCCCTCCATCTCTTGTCCCAAACCTCTCTCCACGTTTCTGTAGCTCATTCAGGCCCTGGAAGGCCACAACGAGCTCACCCCAAAACTTGTGAACAATCCCAATTTCCCAATTCCCAATTTCATTTAGAAACTCTTAACTCTTTGGTGTGAATTCCCTGGGGCCAGGAAGTGCTGGAAACATGGAAAATCAGGGAATGGGAATGACCCCACGGTGACAGGACCCTGCTCGGTGACGTTTTGCCCGAATCTGGCTGGGCTGGCTCAGCTCTGCCCCACGAGGAGCCCCCACTCCTTCAGAAGCAGCTCCATAACCCCTGAGGCGAGTTTGTTTTCATTGGCTGCCGGCACAGCACCACTTCCCAGCCTGGAAAAGCTGTGGATAAGTGGGATAGGAGGAAATTTTCCATGGCCGTAAATCACTCGGCCGTTCCATACACGGATGCACTCAGATGGATCCCTTCCCCTTGCAGCTCGTGTTTTGAGGGTTATGTCATATCTCTTCCCACCCCTGAGCTTTTCCATCCCTTTTCCTGGTGGGAAGGGGCAGTGCTTGACCCTCTGGATCAGGCACTGAGAGCTGGGAAAATGTATTGCCAAGACACAGCAAGGTCAGGGACACAGAAAAACAGAATTTAATTTAATTAAATCTCTGCAAAAGACCTCCAAGCTCATTAAGCCCAGCCTCTGACCAGTCAGCACCCAGACCACCCCACTCTGTCCTTAGGAGCAGTTCAACGTTTGAACAGAAAAATGATCTTTAAAGGACTTTCCAACTAAAACCCCGAAGTGTTTTGGGGCAGGGTGAGTGGTGGGAGTTGGGATGAAGAGGAGGGAGACAGGCAGGAAGGGGTTAATCCTTCTGGCAACACCACAATTCCATCCCTCCCTTGTTCAAATTCCATTTTTTGCAGTTTTCCACTCCCACTGCAGATTTCAGAGGATTTCTTGGAGGGCAGTGGAGCTGCAGAGCCTTTGCTGGGTGTCAGGAGCTCTGAAAT